CCAGATGGGAGGAAAGCTGCTTTGAGACCCCTTATAGAGGAGCCGTTCTGGAAGGCAGCAATAGAGATAGTGGGGCCTGTCGGTCAGGTCACCCAGATGGGGAACAAATGCATCCTGGTAGCAGTGGATCTGGCTACCCACTGCCCCTAGGCCATGGTTCTGTCCTCTATCGAGGCAGACATGGTGGCAGACACACTGCTGGCCCTTTTCAGCAGGGTGGGGTGCCCCAAGGAGGTCTTCACGGACCAGGGGTCCCACTTCATGTCGGCCCTGCTCTGGTGCTTGTGGGAGAAGCACGGGGCCCGGCTCACCTGGGCGCCGGCGTATGACGCTTGGCCCAGCGGGCTGGTGAGGAGGTTCCAGGGGACCCTGAAGCAGGTGCTGGAGGCCTTCGTCCACTGGTATCTGCAGGACTGGGACAAGTACCTGCCCCCCTGCTGTCTGCACACCGGGAGGCACTCTGAGGGTCTGCCAGGTTCTCCCTGACTGAGCCAGAGTACAGAAGAGGGAAATATGCGCAGGTAACACAGGGAGATGAGGCAGACATTGTGGGGCTGTGCAGAGGAAGGGGCCTGCCCGTGGGGAAAGCAACCAAGACCCAGCTGATTACCCGGCTGGAAGAGAATGACCAGTCCAGGGGCCTGGACCCTGTCCCAGCGTGGAGCAGCCAGACACTCCTTGGAAGCATCTCAGACCGGAGAGAGGGCTGGAGTCCACCAAACAGACACGGTGCCCACCAGTCCCTGCTCTGCTAGCAGTGGTTCATCTAGGGTAGGGTCCCTCCTGGCAGAGCTGCAACAGCTGGAGATCGAGATGCGGCTAAAGGAATTGGAGGTACAGGACAGAGACAGCGGCAGCATGAGCGGGCCATGGCAGAGCGGAGAAGCCAAGGGGGCCTGGCTACAGTAAGTGGGGAGGGCCCCGGGAGCCCAGGATGGCCAGACACTGTGGGAGATATGGACGGGTTTCTTAGAGCCTTTGAGTGAACCTGTGAACAACACCAGCTCACTCCCTTGCTGGATCAGAAGGCCACAGGGCTGCTCAACCAGCTAGAGAATCTGCAGACAGGAGACTACAAATGGGTCAAAGAGGCCCTGCTGCACAAGTTCGGCTGACCCCTGAGATGTACAGGAAGAAGTGCCAGGGGATGCAGACTGAGCCGAGGGAGACCTGTGTGGATATGGCCTCCCGCCTGGTGCAATATTGCCGCAAGCGGGTGCTCTGGGTGGGGGGCCCGACACCCGAG